CCCCCAGTCCCCCCAACCCCCAGGTTCGAGGACGGCGGGGGTGCGGGGTACGGGGGGCTGTGCGCTGCTGTGCGCGCGTACGGGCGCGTTGCCACGTCGCGCACGATGCCCAGCGCGTGCGTCCTGCGCGCGCCTACCAAGCCCGTGACACACGTGCGCACGTGGTGCACGCTGCACACCTACGACGCCCACGGGCACCCACAGGTCACGGGGATACGTGGGGGTCACGGGGGATACGTGGGGGTCACGGGGATACGTGGAGGTTACGGGTCACGGGTCTCTCCCCCCGCAGGTAGGGACATACCCTCTAAAACAGGTGGCGACATACCCTCTACCCCCCTCCCCCCCCCCTCAGGTGGGGACATACCCTCTACCCCCCCACAGGTGGGGACATACCATCAACCCACCCCTCCCCCCGCAGGTGGGGACATTCACCGTGACCGCGCGGGTGTTCGGGCGCGCGGTGGGCAACTCGGTGACGGTGAACGTGGGTGGGCAGCACAACCCACACGCGGTATACGGGACGCGGGGCACGGGGCCCGATATGTTCATGCAGCCCGCGGCCCTGTGTGTCCTGCAGCAGCGCCGGCCCCACGGGGACGTCGCAACGACCGTCTTCGTGGCAGACACGGGCAACAGCAGGATCAAGGTGCTGGATGGGGGTGAGTGGAGGGGAGTCTCCAGAATTTAAAGCCGTTATGTCCTTAGTGGTGTCCAAAGCTGGCAGCAGTACTCCAGAATGGGAAGCCGTTATGTCCTTAGTTGTGCCCAAAGCTGGCTGCGGTACTCCAGAATGGGAAGCCGTTATGTCCTTAGTGGTGTCCAAAACAGGCTGCAGTACTCCAGAATGGGAAGCCGTTATGTCCTTAGTGGTGTCCAAAGCTGGCAGCAGTACTCCAGAATTGGAAGCCGTTATGTCCTTAGTGGTGCCCAAAGCTGGCGGCAGTACTCCAGAATGGGAAGCCGTTATGTCCTTAGTGGTGTCCAAAGCTGAGAGCAGTACTCCAGAATGGGAAGCCATTATGTCCTTAGTGGTGTCCAAAGCTGACAGCAGTACTCCAGCATGTAAAGCCGTTATATCCTTAGTGGTGTCCATAGCTGGCTGCAGTACTCCAGAATGGGAAGCCGTTATGTCCTTAGTGGTGTCCAAAGCTGGCAGCAGTACTCTAAAATGGGAAGCCGTTATGTCCTTAGTGGTGTCCAAAGCTGGCAGCAGTACTCCAGAATGGGAAGCCGTTATGTCCCTAGTGGTGCCCAAAGCTGGCAGCAGTACTCCATAATGGGAAGCCCTTATGTCCTTAGTGGTGTCCAAAGCTGGCAGCAGTACTCCAGAATGGGAAGCCCTTATGTCCTTTGTTGTGTCCAAAGCTGGCAGCAGTACTCCAGAATGGGAAGCCCTTTCTCCACCACACTTACGCTCTATTTTCTTGTCTATGATTGGTGGATTTTGCTTGAAAGGCCGTCAATGATTGGCTGATGAACTTACGATCTCTTAACTTTTTTTGAAAGTATAGGCCCTG